ACTTCACTGAATGTGGCTCAGTCTTGGTGGCAACCCACAATTATTTACTTATCACACAATATTTCTTTTAACCTAACTTTAAAGAATATCTAAAAACTTTTTAAATGAAAAGTTGTTTAAAAAGAGAAGGAAAAACAAAAGAAAGAAGTGGGACTTCTGGGAAGATGATGGAATAGTAAGTAGCAGAAGAAGAGCCTCTCTGAGAATTACTGTCCAGAAACTGGAATGTAGCAACATGAAGACAAGAAGGAGGCAAGTGGGTCTTCTGCACCCAGGAAGGATTTGAAGTGAGAATTGAAGCCCATGGAGTGAGCAAAGAGAGGAACTTCAATGAGGAAGAAGGAGGCAGCTGCTGGAGCCTTCTCCTCGAGATGGGACTCACTGTGTGGGAAAAGCAGTTGAAACCTGCAGACATACAGTGACTACCGGGAACACCAGAGGCCTCCACCGAGAGACACAGCGAGGGAAGGGAGCAGTAGCTGGTAGTGAGTGCTGAGGGTTTGGTCATTCCTTGGGAGAGAGTGATTGGCCAGGAGCCATCCAGGAGAGGAACCAACAGAGCTCAGAACTCAGAACAACTCCCTGGCTCCATCTAGCAGCTCCCAGCTGAGTTTAAGCCCCTAGGAGGTGTGCTGACTGCTACAGGCTGAAAGGGCCCCCACAGCCAGAATACAGCCTGGACTTCAGAGGAAATAAAGGTGCAGGCTCACTGAGGTTATCACCACCCTATCATATTGCTACTGCTGGGATAAATCAACACAGATGTGGACTCTGTCTCCACACACTGCCTGCCAGTGACAGCAAGACAAACATGGAAGTGGGTTCTCTCTCTCTCTGTCTCTCTCTGTCTCTCTCTGTCTCTCTCTCTCTCTCTCTCTGTCTCTCTCATATTTTTGTTGTTGTGATGGTGGTTGTGGCTTTGCTTTTCTCTCACCTTCATGGTTTGATCCTGTTTTTATATGAATGTGTGGGCGTAGTTTCTAGCGTCTGTGTGGCTGTTGTTCTGTTCTGTTCTTCCTTTTATTTCTTCCTTCTCTCTTTCCCTCCTGTCTTCTACACCAGTTTCCCAAAGTTAGTCTGATCCCCCGTTGTCCTCCAGCCTCTTCCTCTTCTTCTACTTCCCTATTTTCTCCTTAAACACTTTAAGATTTTTAACCCCTGAGGGTAAAACTGACATATTAAAGACTTACATATTGCAGACAATTTTCTGGTTTGTTTTAAATATTGTTATGTAATCACAAATCTAGTTCATATGGTTAAAAGTGGCAAATTAGTGGTTGCCTCAGTTTGTCATTTTATAGGCTGTTTGATGCTATTGTTATTGCTGATGTTACCACTTTAGCCAAAAGTGAAATAATTGCTCTAGCCAGCTGTTCTTCCTGGCATTTCAAGACTAAGACTGACTAAGAACCATAGAAATTATTATGGCACAAGTGCCAAAAAACCAGGGGCTGGGCCAAGCAGTCAGCAACTTCTCATCCCCAACAAATTGAAGAGGTAGGATCATGCAACAGACTTAAAACCCAAAAAGCCACTATACCTGGAAGAAGTCATTTCCTAGGGGTTCTAAATACTAGCAATAAAGCTACTCATGATAGGCAATTTACAAGCATTAACCCTGGAATTAGACTAAAAAAGAAAAAGGAAAGAAAATGAGAAGACACTTAAACAAAATATAACCCCAGATATCCAGTTCACCAAAGGCAAACACAGGGAGTAATGAGGTGGATCAATTGAAAGCCACCCACCTGGGCTGAAGTGGTAACAAAAAGCAATAGAATGAGGCTCTAGACAAAAAAAAATCAGAAATAATTTATCAGATAACTGTTCAAATGAAAACCATGCTTAATGACTCTAGAGTAGATAGTTTTTTTAAAAAATAGAGGAGCTTAAGAAAATGATAGAGGTCATGAATGCCAAACATAGGAAAGAAAAATAATACATAAGACAGATTCCAGCAGATACCTAGAAGAATAAAAATTGCACTGAAAATGTCCACAACAGATTAAGCCAATGTGAAGACAGGATCTCAGATATAGAACACAGGCTTGTGGTTAGCGATTATAAAGTTTTTTTTTAAAAATAGCAAGGGACCATGGGAAATCAATCCAGCAGCTGCTAGATGATGCAAAGAATAATAACTTATGGTTGGTTAGCGTCAATGAAAAAAACAGGAGATGGCACAAATGATATTTAAAAAATGTTCACAGACATCATGGTAGAAATCCTCCCTGTTAGGGAAAAAGAATTTAACATAGAAATAAACGAGGCATATAGAACTCCAACTAGCCATGATCAAAAAAATCTACAGCCAGACATACCATATTTAAGATTCCAGAAATTCAACACAAGAATAGAATATTATAAACTATTAGGGAAAAAACAAATCATCTATAAAGGAAAGCCAATTAGAATCACAGCTGACTTCTCAACACAATCCTTCAAGTAAAGGAGAGCTTGGAGAGAAGTATTTAAAGTTTTAAACTAAAACAACCTCCAACGCAGATTGATGTACCCCACAAAATTATTTTTCAAAATGGTGGAGAAATAAGATACTTCCATGATGAAGAACACATGAGGAAATTTATGACCACCAAACCAGCTCTCCAAAATGTTCTGAAGGTCATTCTAGAGAGAGATAACAAGAACTATAATTGCATGAATCTCAACAAGAGGAATCCACAGGCAAGGAAAACAATAAACAGGAGTGGGAGCCAACAACAGGAAAATAACATGACAAGGATAATATATATCAGTTATAACCATCAATGTCAAAGGTCTCAGTTCCCCTATCAAAAGACACAGGCTGGCAGAATGGATCAAGAAGCAAGATGTAACAATATGGAGTACATAAGAAACCTATTTAATTAAAAAAGAAATTCATACACTGAAAGTCAAAGGATGGAAAACAATTACTCCATGTGACATGAACCCAGAAAAAAGCAGGGGTAGCTATTCTATTTGCAGACAAAGTGAATTACAAGCCAAGATTTATTAAGAAAGGCAAAGAAGGTCACTACATACTTGATAAAGGAGCAATCCAATAGGAAGATATAACAATCAGAAAGATGTATGAACCGAATACTGGTACACTCAAGAATATAAAATAACTATTAACAGACATGAAAAATCAAATAAGCACTAATACAACTGTATTGGGGAATCTCAATATCACACTGTCATAAAAAGACAGATCAACTACACAAAAAATCAAAACTGAACCAAACTTTTTTTTTTTTTTTTTGGTATCAGGGATCAAACTCACAACCTCATGCTTGCCAGGCAGACACGCCACTGTGCTAAATCCCTGGCCTGAACCAAACTTTTGAACAAATGGACTTAGTAGATGTCTACAGAGTGCTTCACCCCACAACATCAGAATATACATTCTTCTCAGCTGCACATGAGATGTTTTCTAAGAGACCACATACTGGTCCATAGAATATACTTAAGTAAATGCAAAGAAATAAAATTATTCCACGCATATCATCAGACCTAGTGTCATGAAAGTAGAAATCAATGGCAAAAGAAACCAGTGGGTTGTTTCTACAATTAAATGATAATGATAATACAACATACCAGAATTTATGGGATACAATGAAAGCAATTCTAGAAGGGAAATTTATAGCAGTGAACACTCATGCCAGGAAAACAGAGCAAGTGCAAATAATGTTGAACCTCAAATTTCTAGTAAAAGAAGAGCAGGCCAAGCCCAAAGCTCATATGAGGGAGAAACTGATCAAGATCTGATCAGAAAATAATGCACTAGAGACTAAGAAAACAATACAAAGAATCAGTGAATTGAACAGTTGATTCCTTGAAAGATTAAATAAAATTGACACACCCTTAGCCAACCTTATCAAAAAAAAAATAAAAGACTTAAATCTACACTATTAGGAATGAAAAGTGTTAAACCACAAGAAACTTAGAGAATACTTTATACCACCACTTCTCAAATACTTTAATAAAAATGAAAATGAAACAATTCTCCCAAATTCATTCCTGGAAGCAAGCACTACACTGATATCAAAACTGGAGAAGGACCCAACTAAGAAAGAGAACTACACCAATTTCCCTAGTGGAGATAGATGCAAAAATCCTCAGTAAGATATTGGAAATAGAATGCATCAAATCATTAAGAAGATTATACACCATGACCAAGTGGGATTTATCACAGGGATAAAGGGATGCTCCAACATACGTAAATTAATAAATGAAATTTACCACGTTAACAGAGCAAAAGACAAAAACCATATGAAAGAACTAACCAAAAAGGGAACTACAGGCCAATCTCCCTAATGAACATAGATGCAAAAATCCTCAATAAAGTATTGGCAAACAGAATGCAGCAAGTCATCAAGAAGATCATACATCACAACCAAGTGGGATTCATCCCAGGAATGCAAGGATGGCTCAACATATGCAAATCAATAAATATAATTCATCACATCAACAGAGTCAAAGAAAAAGTCACATGATCATTTCAATAGATGGAGAAAAATGTTTTGACAAAGTCCACTACCCATTCATGATAAAAAAAAATCCTACAGAAAATTGTAATAGATGGTCTTGATCTCAGTCTGATAAAAGTCATCTATAACAAACTAACAGCCAACATCATACTAAATGGACAAAACTTGAAAGCTTTCATTCTAGAATCAGGAACAAGACAAGGATGTCCACTATTACTACTCCTACTCAATACAGTTCTGAAACATTAGCTAGAGCAATCAGATAAGAGAAAGAATAAAAGGAATAAGGATAAGAAAGGAAGAGTTAAATTATCATTATTTGTGAATGACATAATACTCTATAGAAGATTCCAAAACTTCACTAAAAGAGTTTTACCTATTCAATTTTCCAGCAGATTTAATGTTTCTTAACTAGGAGTCAGTACAAAACCTACTTTGTAAAATAACACATTCTCAGACATGTTTAAGATATTAACTGAAAAGTAAAGTCTAAGTATAATCAAAAAGTCATCATTTCTGTCTTCCTACCTGTTTTATTTTGTGTAAGTATTCATTCTTTTCACATTGTGATGAATCTTCCAGTTTGGCCTTGTGGGATATAAAGAAATTTCTATAAACAGAGGAAGCCAAGTAGATTTGTATCAGAACAATCAGAACATATTTTTCAGTAAAGCCACATTTATATGAAACAAAAAATTCCTGTCCCTATCTTCCCACACAAACTACTCATAGATATTTACTAAAATAAACAAAGATTTTTACTCTTAAATAATGAGCTAACGCTTCACGCATTCACTGAAGAGCAGTTACACAGCATCCACACTTTGCTGGGCCCGTTCTAGGTACCAGGGCTGCTGCACGTGCAGTGTCCGCCCTCCTGGAAATTACATCCTAATGAATGATGTGATCAGAATGGATGCAACGTAACAAAAAATAACCCCTGTGTCCCGGATGGTTAAGTCTCTGAAGAACAAAAGCATGAAGGAGGGTCTGAGAAGAATGTTCCTTTGTATACCTGAGCTACCTCAGGAAGGCCTCTTTGGTATAAGCTAGGAAAGGCCTAAGTGCTAAGGAGTGTGGAGGAAGCACTTCTAGGGCAGAAGGACCAGCAAGTGATGAGAACCAGAGACAGTAAAAAGCTTGCTGTGTTGAAGGAAAGAGGAAAATGAGGCTGGAGAGGTAGACAGGGACTAGATCAGATGGGGTGTTTAGGGTAAGGCAGGAATTCAGATCTTACTTTGAAGGGAACCAAGAAAGAACTTCTTAAAACCGAAGGGCAACATGGACTGATTGGCATCTTGAAAAAAACATGATTCTGGTTACTTTGTGGAGATAGCAACAGTGCAGGAAGAAAGACCGTGTGAGAAGCTACAGCAGGAAAACAAAGCAGGGTATACGGTGAAGGCGGTACGTGAACGTACACAGGTGAGCTTGGAACACAGTGAAAAGTGCTGGTGACAGTGCGTGCCTCTGGATTCAGCTGAAGTCAGTGCTGCACTGGATCTAGGAAGTGATGCACAGAGACCAGTGGACCCCTAGGCATTCAGTCTGAGTGACTAGGCAAACAGCACTGTCACACCCACCGCCACACAAGTCTGTGGGTAGAGCTGTTTCAGTAAGCTCTGTAGAGGACATGTTTTTGCTTGGCATACTCACGCTCTCCAAGTGGAGAGGCCAAGGAAAGTCACATAAAGCTTACATTTAGAATGCAAAGAAAGAAGTGAGGGCTAGATATACAAGACCTATATAGGTTTGGAAGTCTCTGAGGTATAGAAGTATTTAAAACCTTAAGACTGGATAAAATCACACAGGAGAAATCAGAGTATAGCGATGGGCCAAGAACTCCAAAATTTAACATCAGAGAGATGTGAGAAGCAAGTTAAGGCTTGTGGTAGGACACACCAGTGTGGTGAAGGAGGGAGAGGGTGACCTTTGCGAAGACAAATAAAAGACATGGTTCTAGAAGGAGGAAGTGATAATCTTTGTGACATTCCGTGGTGAACTCAACAGTTTTAAGGAATGGGGCAGATCATTAAAGTAGGAAAGGATGGACACTATTGGTAATCTTGACAGCTTTGAGATGATTTTAGCCCTCCAAAGTAACTCACTCCAAAGTGAGTTAGCCCTCACAGTCTTCATTGCCTTGGGTACTTTAAAGGCAAGGATACACTCGGGGTCATAAATTGGCTATCACCCGTGTAAAAATTTAACTTTCACCTCCACATTTCCCATGGGCTGAGAGACCACTGAAAGGCATGCAAATAGGGATCACAGTACTGGATTTACAATCACTATATAGACATATAGCGCTGGGAATCATTAATAAGAAAAAACAAGGATCAAACTGTCAGGGCCATTTGTAAACTCGTGGCGCATTCAAAGCACTAGTAATTGTCCTAACATACAAAATTTGTATTTGTGGCTGAGTATTTTTGTTTTCCTTGATATTTTGATATCAAAATGGGTAATAGTGCTGTCGACCCTGAAGTGAAACATTCCTTGGTGGAGGAGATTAAGACTGATAGATTAACAGGAAGACAAGCACTGCAAAGTATTTTAGTTTCTTAATATTCTTTTTTTTTTTGTCTTTTTCTTTTTTTATCGGAACCGGGGATCGAACTCACGACCACACACTTGCAAGGCAGGCGCTTATGCCGCTGAGCTAAATCCCCAGTCCCAATATTGGTTGTACACTGATTCTTCAGCTCAACCAAGCAAGGACTAAATTGCCTCTCTCTACCTTTACATATAGAGGAAATAAATTAAGGGATTAAACAAAAAGAATACAGAAGATTTTCTTCTAATTTTTCAAGTAATGAAGAGCCAAAGTAAAATTTTAGAAATCAACAAGGGGGTTAACCTACATCTTCAATTCTCAAAATAATCAAAATCACTTTTTCTTTGATGAGATTGTACATACTGAAATGTGTTGAAAAGCTGGGGTACTAAAAATGATGAATTACTAAAATGGAAAATCAAGAAATCTTCATTTCTTTCTTGAACACATGCAAAATCAATTTAACTTACATGCTTAGAAATAAAACTTCAGCTCCCTAGTGAGGTTTTGAATTATAACAGCTAGAAACAAACACCAACTTCATATGCTCCACTATGTTTTTATTTGAAATATGAGGTGTGATCAAAATATATGGTCAATGATTAAATTTTAAAGAGCACTACAGTTAAAGGTGCACTGCCATTAGTGCCCCTCAAAACACTTCATCTCACTTCAAACACACTTATCTTCCTGTTGCTATTTTCTGAAGCAGTGCTGCAGGTACTCTCACGAGTGTCTTTATGAAGTATAATAAAAAATGTCACTACTGCTGCTGAATGCATTCAATAAGAAGGCAGGCTTATAAAAACATTAATGTGTCCTCTTTCCCCTACTTACTGGATCTGGTACTATGTGAATTCTAGCTTTATTCAGTCAAAATGACCATGAAAGGTAAAGGTTTTGAAACGACTCAGGACATTGAAGGAACCATGACAGCACAACTAAAGACACTCTTGAAAAAGGACTTTGAGAACTGCTGTAATAAATTTGTTTTTAGTTTAAACACTCATTGTATTTTCAATCACTCCTCATATGTATGAACTAAAACTACTGAGTCATTTACAAACTCAGATTTTCTTTCTCCCCTGAATTTTACTGCAATATTAATTGAGCTTTCCTATTTTTAAATTTTATACTGAGTGTAAAGATTTTTCTATTTCTTGAACTGATGATGGTAGGTTAGCATTATGTTGTGCAATTCTTGTTTTAGAAGACATATTTTAAAATTTGAACACAGTTAAATCCATGTAGAAACAAGTCATGTTATTGCAGGATTCTGATGTGGTTACTTTGGGAAATTTGCTTAGCCTGAACTTCTTCTCTTAGACCATCAGTGAGCCACAAGGTGGCCCCAAAGGCCAGATTAAAAGACTTCATCTTCCTGGCCAGAGCTGACTGAACCAGGAGCTAAAGCTGAACCAAACACATAGGAAAGTAAACTCTGGGAGCACGGCGGCTCCTCTCCACAGGTATCCTGGAAATTCCAGGAGTTTGCTCAGCCATGCTTTGCCAAGTGCAAACCAAGAAGAGAACTGGGTGTGGCTAAACGAAACACTTGGTAAAAGGAAGCTTAGAGACTCTGCAGTGTTGCGGGACAGTTACTCAGGTAGCAGTTTTTGCTCTGAGGCTTCTCTGAATTTTCTCAGTAAATTCTGCAAATTCCCCTTGACTAGGAACAAATACAAGGGCATGGTTAGTTGGGCTGCAGCCTTGTGGTATCTCCCACCAGTGCCTTTCTCTGTTGGAGGTTTCATGTTGTTCCTGACTCCCTACCAAAGTTAAGCGTCAATTGTTAAAAATATTATAGTTAAAGGCACATTGCCCTCAGTGCCGCCTCAAACCATTCCATCTCACTTCAAATGCACTTTTTCCATTTTTCTCGTCACTTTCTGAAGCAAATCTGGAAGTCTGCTTCCAAAAGCCAATCTAAAGAGTCCCTCCCTGTCCAGAGCTGACAGTATCTACTCGGTTTTTTCTCTTGGTCATGTAGCTAACTATAAAATGAAAAGGTGATGTTAAAAAGCTGTCACATTAGTTTGAGTAAAGTAAGAGAATATGGCTTTTACTTAATAGTAAAATTTAAGAGTGAGACTACTAGAGTTTGGGTCTTGAACGTCCCTCGAAGGTCAATGCATTAAAGGCTTGGTCCCCAGCGCGCTGCTTTTGGGAGGTGGTGGACCTTTGTGGGAGGACTTTAGGTCACTGACAGTGTTCTCTCACACGGGACTGTGGGGTCTCAGCTCTTCCTTTCCTTGCTTTTACTTGTTGACTGCAAGGCAGGTGGGTTTGCTCTGCAATGCCTCGCTGCTATGAAGTGCTGCCTTTCCACAGACATAAAGCAGTCGGATAAGCCAGTCATGGTCTGGGACTTCTAAACTTGTCAGCTAAAATAAACCTTTTATAAGATTATTACCTCAACTACTGTGTTAGAGCCATGGGAAATATAGTGATGTCTATGAGTACTTCAGTAAAAATACAGTATGACACTTACATTTTATCCTCTGTAATCTTACAAGCTTTCTTTACTGCCTCCACCTTTTCTTCCCACTCCTTTATTGATGATTGCAGTTGTGCTATCTCTAAGTTGTGATCACTTAGAACCTATTAAAAATTCAACAAAAATAGGACATCAATCATGACCAAATGATTCATAGTAGCAGTTTGATACTAGTAAATATTCATGATTTATTCATTCAACTTATAAAATGGAGCTGTCCTTTAGTTTAAAAAAATCATTACAATTGTTTCTTCATAAAATAAACTTGGTTAAAAATATTTTTTTGATCTTTTTAAGACAAGGTCTCACTATGCAGTTCAGGCTGGCCTTGACTCACTTTGTAGTCCAGGCTGGTCTTGAACTTGCAGCAATCCTCCTGCCTCAGATTTCCGAGTGCTGGGATTACAGGCATGCACCACCATGCTTGGAATTCCAAAATAATTTTTAAACCATTAAAACATCTAAAATTTGACATAAAGGGTGACCTAATATATCAATGAGAACTATATTAATGTATTTGCAATGTTAATATAGCAATGAGAGCTATATTAAATTTTTCATTTGACACAAGAATTCATTTTCTGTAGCATTTAAAAAAATAAATATTGCCATAATCATCTTCAAAATATTAGCCCAACATACTAGAATATTATAAAACAGTCAAAAATTAGTTTCTTTTACATTAATTGATGAATATATTTATAATGAAAACATTTTTATTAACTTTTGATTAATATTTAATGACTAGAATAATCAAATATTGTGAAAAAATGTCACCATAACTTGAAGGAAAATTGGCAACAAATACCAAGTCAGAGAGGGATTTTTGCAATGTAACTTTGGTATAAAAAAAGGGGGAGTCATGCTCACTGGTCTTGGGATTGCACTCTACCCTGTGCAAGGAGAGAATGGAGCCAAGGAAAGGCTGCCAGACAGGCTGCGCTGCTGTGTAACACAGCTGCTGTGGACAGGCTGTGTAAGCCCTGTAAACCTGGACAGCGCTGTGAGGTCAGAGAACTACTTAGGTGAGGAAGCACAGGAGCTCTTTCAGCCCTCCTCTCAGATGGGGAGGTGAAAGCTGCCCAGAGTGCCTTCTTTCTCTATAGCAGGCAGGCATGTGGTAGCTAAATTTCTGCTTCCTAACTAGTCCCATGGTCACGAGTCCAGAATCCTAGCACTGCCATCAATATTGGCAGAATGTTGCCAAGTCTCTGGGCCACATGCTGACAGTTCTGGCATTTGTTGTTTCTAGCTTCAGTCATCTCACCCTGATTTGCTGACTACGTTGAGATTTCTTCTTAGTTATTCGCTCCTGCCAGTATTACATTAACTTGACCTGGCTGCAGAGACTTTTAAACTGAAGTTACCTTACGAAGGATAATCTGAAATTCCCTGTGGTCTCAGTGCACAGTCAAAATGTTGTCTTCTAGTCTCAGCCAACAACCACCATAAACTGTACCAAATACAAATCACTGAGCTGAAAGTCCAGTGGGCATGACCTCATTTAATACGCTCCAAAAGTCTTTGCAGTGCCATATTATAGATGCAATAACTTCAGCTTGGCAGATCCAAGGTTTGAACCCCTGTGTAATGCTTAAGTTTGTGCTTTAAATGATCCTCTCTGCTAATGTAGGTTGTGGCTGGGTTGTGGGAGTTAGCGAAGGAAGTGCAAGCCTGTCTAATTGGGCCTTAGAGAACTCTGGTGTACAGTTTAAGGAACATACACTTAATTTCCCCAAACTAAGTGCCTGGTAAGTGGTAGAACACTTGATTTATGGTTTATGAAACAAAACTGGAAATATGAGCTTGGGAATATAGATAAATTATATTTATATAACATTTACATTCTCATTTTTCCTAGCCAATCATGATTATCCTATGTTGAAATCTAAAAAGAATGATTTTTCTAAATGTTCATATCTGATATTACCAAGGTTCTATAATTGGATTAAAATGAGTACAATCACCTTCATATAATAATGGAATTAACTGTGAATTCTTATAGAAAATGTGATATTTCCACATTACTGCTACATCAATATTGTTTTGCATGTGTCTTTTAAGATATAGAAATACACTAATAGATTCAGTAATTCAACTAGTTATGATGGAGAAATAACAGGCATTACCATTTTTATTTGGCACACAGGTCATATTTAACATTAACCATCTTCATAAGCTTCAATTTTTCTGATTTTTAAAAGATAATTCTTACAATATGCATATCACAGTGCTGGGTTTCAATAAATGTTACTAAAATTATTTTATAGAAGCACAAAGCTGAAGTATTTTTAAACTCAAATAGACAAACAGTGTCCTTTCCAAATTAATATTACTGTTTCCAGTATCAGTGGGGAGCCTAAACTCTGTTCTCTTATCCTGCATTCAGAATTAAGAGGTTGCCATGGTTATTAATTTTGTTGTCAAATATGACAGAAATATTTTACAGAAATAATTTATGCATATATGTATACACATGCCACATATATTTAATTAGTTCTAAATGTGTTTTTTGATGAAAATTTTCAAAGTATTTGGGCCTATCAGATGCAATTTCTAAGACAGCTTTCTTCACACCATGTTCCTGAGGATGAAAACACAGTTGCACTACAACAGTCCAAATAAGTGTCAGAAAACATTAACACAATAGAAGTGTTCTTCCAGAATGGCCTAAAAATGAATTACAATCAGTTCCTGTTAATTTTTTTAATTTTTTTTTATTGGTATGTTTACGTTCATAGTGACTGCATTTCTCCTGGGAAGTTGGCCCACGTACCTAACACCTGTCAATGCTTTTCCACCTCACCCTCCCCTCCCCTCCTTCCATCTCTTGGCCCCCTTCCCTTTTTGCAAACAACTGATCTCCTGATCAAGGTGCCCAGTTTGGGCTTGAAAACATGCAGTTTATTCCATCTTACCACTGTGCTGATGGTAACTGTTTGTTTCATTTTTGTCATTCTATTTTTTAATTTTTCCAATTCTTCCTTCTTTTCAAAAGTGTCCAGTTTTGTAACCTCACAGACTTTTTTAAATTCATCAATCTACAATGACAAACAGAATAATCCAATAAAAAACAAAATTTAGAAAATCTTTTTCCATTTGTCAGCTCTGTTTAAATTCATTCTGAGTATGCCATATTCAATCTCAATAGACCAAGGAAAATAAGATAAAATAAAACAAAACTATGATCTAATATGATGTATAACAAAAATATGATCTATAACTAATTTGCAGTGTCACAGGAAACAAAGTGAACTGTATGGGTCAAACCATAATTACAAAAAACTAAAATATTAAATTTGTAAGATCAATGGTAATCATTATGGTAATCGTTATGTTTTAGATCTAAAATGTTCTCTGAAAGTCTCACATTCAGAGGTTAGGAGGGCTGGGTTACTGGACTGATCTGGAAGCTCTCCTCGAGCTCCCCCTTTCTCTCTCTACTTACTGGCCACATTCAACGAACAGCATTTTGTGCCTTTCCAGCGTGTGTTTGCACCTTAAAGCCAGAGGCAGAATCAGGGCTTTGTTCTTTGGATCTGGAAGCGCCTACCTGGTGACCTTTCCAGGGACACAGACCGGGCTCCTCATGGCCCGTCCAGCCTCCCTGACTCGAGCCCCTTTCATTCATTTAGGTACTGCTGATGTTTACTTTTGTGCTACAGAGAGTGGATTCCTTTCAAGATTTCCTTTTCCCTTTTCAGAAAAAGCTTGTGGACACCTGAGATAGACTACTCATATAGCAATAAGGAATTGGAAATTCCTATATGAAGTCTGTCTGAACTTTCTTAATGTTTTTATGAAAGAGTAACAAAACAGAAAAAAAAAAAAAAAAAACCCTTTCCTATATGGCTTAAAATAAAGCCAGAAACTCATTCATCAGAGAAAGTGGGGTAGTGTGCCTACCGCATGACGTATGTGGGCCCATGCTTGGTTACTCTCTGTGGAATGCTCCTTCCGATGGGCAAAACTCAGACTGGACACCAGCCTTGACTCCTATCTGGTCCCCAAAAAAGTGAAGAAGTGGAATAATTTGCCCAGTCCACCCTGCAGCACCCCAGAAGCCCTAAAACAGTCATGCTCACTCACATACCCATTTTTTGGTCCTGGAACCTAAGGGTCTGAGCTAGCGTGGGACTTTGCACACTGCTCAGAGGGACAGGTGCCTCTCAGCGGTGCTGTGGAAAGGGACTAAACCCAAGGATGCCCCTTTTCATTCTTCGTGTCCTAAAATTTTCATTTTACTATAAAAACAACCCACTAGAAAGCCTAGTCCAGGGAGAGGAGCCCACAGTTATCAGGGGTTTTTACTCTTCTCTGAAACAGAGGTATCGGTTGGTCCAGATAGAGCAACCTAGGCTGATGGCCAACTCCAAACCAAAAGGCTCCCAGGAACTTGAATTTTTAACTTTGTCTGGTGGCTGCAGACTGTGGAATGGACTGAGGGTGTCTTCCAAATTTCGCATTTGAAGTGTAATTGCCAGTATGATAATACTAAGGAAAGAGGCCTTGAGGAGAGGATTCAGTCTTTCTTTTTTTTTTTTTTTTTTTTGTCGTTTTCATTTTTTATCGGTACAGGGGATCGAACTCATGACCGCCTGCTTGTAAGGCAGGTGCTTATGCCGCTGAGCTAAACCCCCAGCCCCCGAGGATTCAGTCTTGAGGGTCCAACCCTGGTGAAGGGCTGTGTGAGTCAAGAGGCACTCTCCTGCCTTCCACCCTGCAGAAGATGCAGCTCAAGGCAGAAACTGGCCCCTCACTGGTACGGGACAGCTCCTGAGGGTCAGTACCCTGCCAATTTCTGTGGCCTCCCCTCCCTGATCTTTTACTGACACTGTAACTTCTTTTTTTTTTTTTTTCCTGGGGATTGAACTCATGATCTCACGTTTGCCAAGCAGGCACTTATGCTGCTGAGATAAACCCCTGACCCCAACACTGTAACTTCTAAAGAGGAGTCTCAGCAACGCCTGCTCTTTTCTCTAGTTTTATGGCAAATTGTGTTTGTCGTGTGATCAATAAACACAAAGGACAAGCACCACCTTGAAAAGTAACGTGTCTATTTAACAAGAAAATGTACGCATCTGTCCAAAAAGAAGATGAGGTCCTTTGCAATGTTCTGAGAAGGAAGAAGAGAAGATGCCTGTTTCAGAGATGAAGACATGCTCAGTATGGAGATTTCCTGTCATTGGACTAACTGCTCCCCTTCCCTCTCCTCTAGAAACAACCTTCATACCCTGAGACAGAGATTCGAGGTAAAACGCCACACTGTTCTCTTCAGAGCAACAACCTGATTCCTCACATCAACTCTGTCTTGGATTTGTAGTCACTTTAGGAAGGGGACCACACACAACTAATAACAGCCAGATACTGAACTCACGGTGCTTTGATCTAGGACTTCCCAGCTTCAGAATTTCTATTATTTATTATTTCTATTATTTATTTCCCAGTATTGGGTATTTGGTATAGGAAGAGAGACACATATTAGATGGGCTCCTTGCCAGCTACTTTAAAAAATGCCCATGACAAGGAAGAGTGGGGTGCTCTATTCTCAGGGAGAAGAGAACAAGGTTTTAGGGCGCTACTACAGGCTTCTGAAGAGGCAGACATTTGTAAGGATAAAAACTCAGATGTAGTTGGAATTTTTCTTCCTTCCTCCCTTCCTTCCTTCCTTCCTTCCTTCCTTCTTTCCTTCCTTCCTTTCTCTTTCTTTTCTTTCTTTTTTTTTTCTTTTAGTACCAGGAATCAAACTCTTGGCCTCTGTGCTACTGAAGCCAGGCAGGCACTGTGCTACTGAGCTACATGGCCAGCACTATAGTTGGAATTTCTAAATAACCAGATTTATCACTGAATTAAGAAGGAAATGTTCACTGCCAGATTTTATTTCTTTAAATTTTAATTGAAACTAAAGAAAAGCAATGTAACAAACCAAGCTCCCTTTTCTCCCTCTCTCCCTCTCTCCTTCTTCTCCTTCCTTCCCTGAGTCCATTCACACAGCCATACAATTCAAGCAGGATGTGATTGAACAGACTGAGTTTCACAAGCAATCACGAACAGTCCTTCCTATAATGAGCATGATTCTATGCTACCCCTGGTGTCAGGCCTTACTGTAAAGATAGTGTATGGCAGCAAATGGCCCTGTCTCATCCTCTCTAACATCCTTTCCCATGTCTGTGGATCTTACCTGTAATTTCTCAGGCTCAGACGCCCTTTAAGGCCCCTTCCTCTTCCCAAGCACCCTGCTCACTTGGGAATTTGCAGCGTATCTATTCTTGTTCTGGTCTTGGTAAATTCTTTTACCAGCCCTGTCACTGGCCCTCCATTTACTGTTCCTCCCTTCCTTCCCTCCCTCCATCTCTTCCTTCCCCTCCCTCGTCTCCCACTACCTCTTTTTCTCTCTTCTTTAATATAGTACTGTTCTAAGCCCAAATCTGATTTCTTGCATTATAACTTGTAGTTATGCCAAGTCCCATCTTGCAAAGGGCAGCATTAGAAGCCACACAGCATCTCATCTCGAGCTTGGCTCCCCTGCCATGGAGCAAGCTTGCAGGCCACTGTTGGCAGCACCTATTGAGGGGACACATCTACCTCTCCTGGCACATTCAGAAACTGTTTGATGGGGAATTTTACTTAACATGACATGCAGACACCGTGGCTTCCCCTAAACATGGGGCATAAAAGGACGCACGAGTTACCACTCATACTTTGGGACTGAGATCATGGTTTGTTCTTTGGGTCCCTGAGGCCGTTCCTCTCTTGGGCCCATTGTTGCTCACAGATGCCCTGTCTGAACTCCCTGGTCCTGTCCGTACAGACACAGCCTCAGCACTGCCAAAGGTGAGCGGAAATGATGATGGCAAAAGCCGTGTCCCTTCATGGCTGCATCTAAGCAAGGGGCCGCCCCAGGGTTAGAAATCCTGCCACTTATATTCTTTCCCATGAACGGAGACCACTGGGACACAATCAAATGTCTTCTTTTTTTTTTTCAAGATCACTCCCCAACCCCAATCAAATGTCTTCTAAGAGGCTTCGAATGGCCTTGAGGCTCCAGTCCTATTCTTGTCCCAATGTTTCACACAAGATATAATAAAACACTCACCAGGTATAAGGACAAATACATTGTTTCCAATTTCCTGCTCCAGGTTATAAATAATTCTGTATTGAAAAAAGTAAATCATGCCACTTACCTGTGAGGTGAGTTCCTGTTTTCTTAGCACATATTCTGCAATGTGTTTGGCCATTAGTTCCTCTGCTGCCTGCAAACATTTCCTGTACACCTCCACATCATGCCTCTCCATGTCTATTTGGGCACAGGTCTCGTTTATGTAAATGGTGGCCTTGGCTTTCTCTTCCATTGTTTGGTTCAGCAACAAGACAAACTTTGCATGCTGCTTTGCCAGCTCTTCTTGCTTTATGCTAGGAGGAAAGAATCACTCTTGCCATGAAAAAGATGTTACTTGGGAAAGGAATTTAAAGTCTTTTTGATAAGAGGAGCCCTCAAAAGAGAGAAACTGTAAGGGATGCTTGCTCTCCCTAGAGGTCAGTGGTCATTAAACTTGGTTGTGATGGGGGATATATAGAACAAGTGTCATCCTTGCAGCTGTTCACTTGCTACAAAAATGCCATGTGTTCACCATCACTTCACTTATCCCTACGTGTCAAGTAGTACATATAAGGTATTTTAGTTTAAAATGTAGAATAATTCAAGTCATTTTGAAAAGGCAATAGGATGTGGCCAGACCAATGTTTTGATGTGTATCATCCTTGTATCTGTTTTACCATCTGAGATCTGCTGCTATGCCAGAGGAAGAGAATCACCCAACCACATCGCCAGCCATGCTGGGATGTAGATAGGATGGGCCGAAGGGAAAGCTAGCCTCCCTCCGACAGGAACTAGGGAAAACAGGAGGTTGAGTCCATCTTTATTCTTTGGACAATGCTTGAGATTTCATTCAAATCCTTTTATCTTCTTGGCCAGATCTGAAAACAGGGAGCAATTAATCTCTGTACCACTCCATCAGATGATAGCCATATTCATTTGAGGAAGATTTACTTTTGGTAAAAACATCTGCCCAATGGCTAACAATATAGATGTGAAGAAAGGACAATTGATTCCATTTTTCTATTTTACTGCTTAAAATCTCTTTCAATATAAAGACACTTTCCTTTTTCTCATCCCTGGGTTAGGAGGGCTGTGTATGAAGATTTGAGGAAATGGAAACAAACTGGTTGGAAATTTATTTTCCAGAGGTCAAATTCTGCAAAAGAAAAGCAATGAAAAGAAGCCTGAGAATGAGACTCAGTGTGGGGAAAAGCACAAAGCCAAACCAAACCATGGATTGCGAAGAAAACACTGGCAAGAAGAGTTTGGGTGCTAAGGCCAGCACACTCAGAGAGCTGTCTTGCTTCCCAGCTTTCAGGACAGTCCAGGAATAACAGGACCTGTGCTCACTCTCCGTCAGTCTGTGAGCACCAGAACATGCATCTTTCTTTGAAAAGCAGATACAAGGAGCCATAGCAATTTGGTGATGTTAGCTTGCCAAACCTTTTGCTTGTAATTTGTCTTTCTAGAGGCTTTGGCTAAAGCAGTAGTTCTCCATGTATTATCTGGACAGTAACATCAGCATCATACTGGACTTGTTAGGATTGCAGCCCCACCTGGTCATCTTGACGGACTGAATTCCAGTAGCTTGTTTTAATAAGGCTGCCAGGTGATCCTGATGCTTGCTCAAGCTTAAGAATCATAGGAATAGAGGGGTTGAGGTTGCTGACCAGCTGATATGGACATGCATCCTGGGCACTGTCCTTATGGTGTGTTGGTTTAGAAATAGTCTACTTCACATAGCTGTCTCTGGCAGTAATGGTGAGCACACACTGTCCACGGATCCACAGACTGAACCCCAGGTGGGGAGTTACAACATTCTGTATTCCTCATGCTTATGTCAATGTGAGTTTTCTTTTTCATGGAGCTTCTCCCAGGACACTGTTCTGAGGGTTAGTTCTGAGCACTGGGGTCCTCATCTAATGACTGCTATTATGATACGTTCTGCACCAAGCAGCCTTTCAATTATTTGTATCCATAAAGATTGTATGTGTGTGTGTAGGCTTCTGAATGATTTTCCTGGAAAACCAACATTCAGATACTTATGCCTTTCTTCTACAAATTTGTACTAAAGTATCCTTCAATTTTTACACCCAGAATACAGCTTTTGTTCTCTTGAGCTGGGAAAGTGAAGAGTTGTGATTTGTGTTTTACATTGGAACAGATGGGTGAAGTGCTGGTCTCCGGTAACACAGGAAAGGGAAATCAGTTGTCAGCTCCTGAGCAATATGCAGTTACACATATTATCTCCTTTAACTACCGATAAATCAGGGACCTTTCCCTGGAAATCAATCCCACCTTTAGCCCTCCATCAGATTGTAAGTATGACTGAATATCTTTAGGAGACCAGACTAGATAGAAAAAGTGTGGCCTGATATTATGTTTACAAATATAATCCTAACCAGACTCCTTCCTTCGGTAATAGTAAATTTTTTGGAAATAGGAGCTAAAACCCCTGTGCACCTCTAGCTTTGGAGGTGGCATTCAAGGAGATGTGCTTTAGAAGCAAGCAATGGTTGCTGCTGGGAGACCAGGTCTCCTGGTGCAATGATGGAAAATTTTCTGCTCCCCTGCCTGAGTCATCTTCTGCAACTGATCTCCAGCTCTTAACGAAACTGCCTTGCCCAGCTCAGATCACGTGGCAAATCCCCTTAACCAGTTTTCCCAATACAGCTCCAGACCTCTACTCCCTCAAGTAATAAATTTAAAATACCTACCCCAGAGCTTCATTCACTTCTTTCAGAGCAGTTATTGTCTCCTTTAGAGATGTTATTTCTTCATCCTTCGTATTAATTCTTGTTTGCATTTGTTTTATCTCACAGATATTTAACCTGCGAGCATCTCGGATACTCTCTTAAAAGTGAATGGAAATGTTAGTAAATTATTTGAGAAAGAGTACAATTATACATATTGGCTCTTCCAGTAATGAAAAACATGTTCTTCTTTGAAATATCCTTTTAATTATGTTTCTGGGTCAGGAACTTCTTACCATTTTGGTCCTTTATGATCCCTAGTATTTTTATTTCTCTGATTTCCATGGCTGCTATGATGATCGGCTTTCCATGAGCTCTGGAAAGCATCAGACAGAAGCAGCATGACCATTTCTGATTCCCACTGTCTCCTGCACCTTCTATCTTCTGCCTAGGACTTCCTGACCCTACTACTGTGGGATATTTTCTGGGCACTTCACCCAGGCACGTACAATTTGGATGTACAGAAGGTGGGGTAAACACTGGCCAAAGAGAGAAGGATATAAATAGTTCCTTCTTTCTCACCAATGGATGATCCTGTGGAGAGATAACACTGTGTCTCCAGGGCATGTTCTCATAGTTAATTAAGTACGGCAGCCAGAGGCAACATCATTTTGCATCCCTATTTGCTCTTCCTTCTCCCTTATTTCTTTTCCCCAAAACCTCCTCTTTGAATTGCACTGTCCACAAAAATAATAGTTACGGGGAAGGACAGACAATAGCCGAGTGGAGGGAGTCCGCTTAGCCCTGCCTGCCACCTCTCCAGCCGAAGGAGCACACCACAGCTGCCATCAGGAAGGAGAGAGCTGGGCTGAGCTGCTGGAACCTGCTCCTGCCTTGTCTGCGATCTTCTTTTGACCAGAGCAATTAGACAAGAGAGAGAAATAAAAGCCATAAAGATAGGAAAAGAAGAAGTTAAATTATCATTATTTGCAGATGACATGATGCTCTACATAGAAGATCCCCAAAACTCCATTGCAAGACTCCTAGATATAATAAATAAATTCAGCAATGTAGCTGGATACAAAATCAATACTCAAAAATCAATAGCATTCCTATATACTAATAACAAAATCACAGAGAAACAAGAGAAGTCACACCCTTCCCACTAGCAACCAAAAAAATGAAATATTTAGGAATTATTCTCACAAAAGAAGTGAAAGACCTATACAAGGAAAATTATTATACACTGAAAAATGAAATTGAAGATGATCTCAGAAAATGGAAAGACATCTCTTGCTCATGGATAGGAAGAATAAATATTGTGAAACTGGCCATTCTCCCAAAACTGTTATACAGATTCAATGCAATCCCGATAAAAATACCCTCAACACACCTCATAGATCTCGAGAAATCACTCCTAAAATTCATCTGGAGTGAGAAGAGACTTAGAATAGCAAGGACAGTTCTAAGCAGCAAAGGCTAGGGAGGAGGTATCACAATCCCTGACTTGAAGTTATACTACAAAGCATCTGTAGTTAAATCGACATGGTACTGGAATCAAAACAGAGCCGAAGATCAGTGGAATAGATTAGAAGATACAACCACAACTACAAACACACTCAACCACCTTATCTTTGATAAAGGGGCCAAACATGTTCACTGGAAGAATGACAGTCTCTTTAATAAATGGTGTTGGAAAAACTGGCTCTCCATATGCCGAAAACTAAAACTAGACCCATGCCTATCACCATATACTAAAGTAAAATCTAAATAGATTAAAGATCTAAATATTAAAACAGAAACACTAAATTTATTGGAAGACAAATTGGGTAAAAACCTTGAAGACATAGAAGTAGGTACAGAATTCATGAACAAGACTCAAACCGCACGGGAAATACTTCCCAGAGTCAATAACCGGGATCACCTATTATTAAAAAGTTTCTGCACGTCAAAAGAAATCTCTAACATAGTGAAAAGAAAACCCACAAACTGGGAAAAAATCTTAGTGAACTGCCCCTCAGACAAACGACTTCTGTCTAAAACATATAAAGAATTAAAAATAATCAGACCCCCAAAATTCAAAGACCCCATCCAAAAATGGGCATCTGAGATGAATAAACAATTTTCAGATGAAGAAGTACAAATGGCAAATAAATGTATGAAAAAAATGTTCATTATCATTAGTCATTAGAGAAATGCAAATTAAAACCACACTGAGCTTTCATCTCACTCCTGAAAGAATGGCCAAGATCAAGAAAGCCACCAACAACAAATGCTGGAGAGGCTGTGGGGAAAAAGGAACTCTCCTGCACTGTTGGTGGGCGTGTAGACTAGTGCAACCATTGTGGAGGTCAGTCTGGAGATTTGTCAGAAAGCTGGGACTGGAAGACCCATTTGACCCAGCAATTCCACTTCTAGGCATATTCCCAGAAGAGCTGAAAGCATCATACCACAGTGATATATGTACACCCATGTTTATAGCAGCACAATTTGTAATAGCCAGATATTGGGAACAACCTAAGTGTCCATCAACTGAGGAATGGATAAAAAATTGTGGCATTTTTATATAATGGAGTACTACACAGCTATAAAGAATGATCACATTGAGACATTTATAAATAAAGGACGCACCTTGAGACCATACTCACAAGTGAAATAAATCAAACTCACATGTATAAATATCGAATTGTTTCCCTAGTGTTAGTAATGATAAGAATACATAAAAGTACGTGGAAATCAGGGTCCCCAGTTACACTGGTTTGAAGCCATATAATGTTTTCACTCATTAATTGGAATGGTTTTAATCTGGGTTGTTTTATATTATTGTCTGCGATACTACAAATAGCTATTTTGAAGAAAATAAGACAGCATAATAGTTAGTGCTGATTTGATATCATCTTGTTTTGAAGCCCCATCAAGTTGCTGTTCATCTGTTTCCATTGGTTTTAACATGTTGCATCTTATTATATTTTAGTGTATGCAATAGTATAAGCAAAATTTTTTATAGGCAAAGAGATCACATAGAAACCGAAGTTCGGTTTCTGTTAGCTGGTTCTAAATACCCTGTAATACTTTCATTCTCTTGAATGGTTTCACACTGTCTTGATAAGTTTGATACTATAGTATACGAAGTTAGACTCAAATATTTCAAGGAAAGAGACACTATGGTAACTACTATTATTGTCAGGCTATCTGGTGGTGAAACACAATGATGCTCAAATTGTTCGGTTCTGACCTGTGTTGTGCTATTGATGTGCTCTTTTTTAAATCTCAATCTCCACCCCCTTTTTTCTTTTTTTAAAATTAATTTATTTCTTAGTATCTTTTAATTAAGGGAAAACTAAATTAAAAATAGCAGGATATATTATAGTAACTTTTTTGTTTTCCTATTAACCTGATTTGAACCCTTGTATTGTTCTCCACATCTTGTTCTGACTGATTTTATTATATTCTGTTTTGATTAATCGTATCAAATTTGAGGGTATAGGCAACCACTTTGACGGCAACCAGATACTCTATGATGCCCATTATGGTTTGACTATTATCTTCTTTGGAAGTCCTGCAAGGTCTCCAATGTGGGTTTTACTGGTCTTATTCTGTACTGTTTTGTTCAATTCTTTTATACCAGCTGATATAGGCACCTCTTTGTAGGATAACAAGAGGCATAATGGTAACCACTGTTGATCACCTAGTAATCTCTTTTAGCATTATATACTAAGTCCACCCTCCTGTTCTGACTCATATTGTGGGGTTTTTTTGTTCTGTTTTGTTTTGTCTTGTTTCTTGTTTTATATATATATATTTTCTTTTCCTCTTCAAAGAAAAAGATATAAGAACTGTGGTAGTAATGGAACCCAAAATGTGTGATTGTTAGTGTAAAAAAGGGAGGAAAGAAAGTGATCTAAAGGATACAACTGCAAGTGTATTTAAGAGTGTAGGATAGAAAACCATATTACTGAGTTTTTGTTGGATCATTGAACAGAACTGTCTGTAATCTCACTGTATTAATGTCCACTTAGTATGCTTTAAGTTTGTAACCTGGACAACTGTTTCTGAGATGACAATATGTAATCTATTTACTAGTGAATTCTTACTGTATATTTTTTCTCTTGAAATTCTGTATTACTGTAGCCTTTTACTGTCTTGCTTTGTCTTGTTTTGTTTTTCTCTTTAAATAAAAAAAATAATAGTTACTAAAGTCATTGTTTTCTGGGGAACCCAATGTGGTAAAGAAGTAACTATTGATGAATAAACAACAAATCAGTGTTTCAGATGATAATTTAGGACATGACAGATAAAGAGTCAACAAACATGAAGTTGTGAACATTGTTCTTCAGGAAGTGCTAGACTATACCCATTTCTACACTACAAATTCTTTAGACACCAGGGTAGCTTCCTTGAGAGCTGGGCTTAGTTTTCACAGTACAGCCTGTTCAACTCTAGGCTATTATTTAAAATGTTCTATGTAGCAAGGCTTTTCAAAATCTGTGTCTCAAATATGTATGTACATCACCTAGGAAATGTGTTAAAATACAGACTCTGACATAGCACAGGGACCTGCAGCGGGCCCAGAGAATCTGCATGTTCTAGGTTGCTATTAGATGCTATTTGTGCTGCTGGTCTGAAGGCCATACTTTAAGCAGTAAGGCTTTATGATATGTTGAATAAGTAAGCATGTACCAATGACCTTATGAGCTAATATGATCTATTTTTTCCTTCTAAAATTAATTTTTTGTGTTTATGAAAGTTACCCAATCTTAGACAATAAAGAGAAAAAACATTTTCAGTTCTAGCTTTGGTGCCATTTTTTCTAGGCCTTATTTTTTATTTGCATGTATAGGTCACAATATTTTCCCTAATCTGACACCAGAGTATCAGCCAAGATTCAGTTAGGAGACAGAAACCTCAACGCAAATTGAACAGAGACAGTTTGTTGTAATGAGATTTAACTACTACAGAGACAACAAGGGAATGGATAGTAAGGAGTCAAGAGAGCTTTTGAGAACTTGGGAGTAGCAGGCATGGACAACAGCCACCATGCCTAAGGCTGACACAAAATGCACATGAAGCAGCACCTCTAGTCCTGGGAGGCAGACCTCACTGGAAAGGCTGAGGCTCACTAAATGGCAAAGAAGTTCACAAAGTCCTGGGTTAGATATCTACTTTCTGGAGTGTTAGGGTACTTATCCATAAGGAGGGGTCACATTTTAGGACTATCCAAGGAAATTATAGAACTATGCAAGGAAATGCAGGGCAAACTCTTCATGGAGTGGTATCTCTTGAAGACATTTATAGTAGTCAGCTTTCCTATTGCTGGACATAAAACCTGACACCCACAATTCAAAGCAGGAAAGGTTGAATTTGGCTCATGGTTTCAGAGAATACTGCAGTCCATGGTTTCCTGGCTCCAAGGAAGAAGTAGCATGGAAGAAGGGTATGTTGAAACAAAGATATTTAGTTCATGGGAAAGCAGTGGAGAGCAGTGTGCAAGAGGAATGGGCAAGGGACCAATAGAGTGCTCAAGGCTTTGTCTCCATGATCCATCCAGACACACTTAGCGGCAAGTTCTACTAATCTTCTACGCATTTTTTAATCCAACAAAGCTGACATATCAGGATTAACAGTCACAGCACTCTATCATGAAGTTACCCAAGGAGTACTGGGGGATGCTATGGGTTGCCAACTATTAGATGCTGCTGAAACCAGATGCACTGCAAGAGTCTGTCAAGCTGGGCAAACTGGAGCCAGAAAAAGAATCCCTTCCTCCTCTGTTATGGTTTGTGTTTGGATGGCCCCTCAAGCCTCATACAATCATAGATGTGGCTGAATCCAGCGTTTGCGATTGGTTCATTGTCTAGCACTGGGGTTGGTGGTGTGAGTACTACATCTGCCTAGGGGTGGAGCCAGCATACAGTGTAAGGGCAGGAAGAGGGTGTGCTTTGCCCTCTTCTGTGCTGTTCACTCTTACTGCTTGTGATGGCCAGCTGTCCCTTCACCATGCCATCCTGCCTTGGAGCCAACTGAGTATGGACTGAAACTTTCAAACTGTAAGAAATAAACCTTTCCTTGCTTCACTTTGGGCATCAGGTATTTGTCTCAGCAATAAGAGAAAAGTAACCAAGATATCCCCCCATATCCCTCTAGTATGCTCTACTGACAGTTTAGACTGTGCCAGCTGATAAACAAGTCTATAGAGTCCAGCTCCTTATGAAGTGCAGACATGGAGCTGAGAGCCAATAGATACTTGGAACATCTTTTTTTTTTTTAAGTTTTTCATTTATTAGGGCCAATTTTTAAAGACTGGCTCCCTGAGCAACAGATTCTAAAGTTTTTGTGTAGGAATATGTTGCATTTCAGGAGCACCTTCTTTGAGGAAGGGAAGGAGAAGCAGGGCAGAGCTGAGGAGAGGTTAAACTGTGAAGAGCTTTGGAGTTGTGAGGGTACTTCAAAGTTGCAGGTAGGCTTTATACTCTCCCAGGGACCAATCACTGAATGTGGGTGGCACTTAGTGGGAGAAGGAAACTTTTCATTTTTGTTTAAGGCAGTTCCTAAAGATGAACTCATCTGCAAGCCTTAATCAATATTACTGGCACCAGAGAAATGAAGGTGGACCCTGATCTCACATAAGATGCAAAATTTTACTCAAAATAGGACAAAGACCTAAATGGAAGAACTATAACTATGGAACTGTTAGAGGCTCCGGCGTTGCTCAGTAGTAGAGAATCTGCCTCACACATGAGGTCCCTGGTTTGAGTCCTGCTATTATGGCTTGGATCTAGATGTACCCTTAAAGCCTCCTGTCCTCATAGGTGGGGCTTCTCAAAGGCAGCTGCAGCTAGGGTGTGTGATAACTAGATTAGTCCACTCACTGCTTTAACATAGTCCTGGGTGAGGATAATGGGGAGTCCCACACTGGCTCTGGGTGTGGGCTTGTAGCCTGGATAGGATTAAAGGGAAAGGGAGGTGGCTGCTGCTCCCTTCTGTGTGCCACACAGTGGGCTCGTTCTCCTCTGAAATGCTCCTCTGCCATGCTCCCCTGCCTCGGAGCAGCCAACTACGGACTCAAACCTCTACAAACTGTGAGCTTAACTCATTGGTGTCAGGTATTTCATCCCAGAAATGGGAAACTAAGACACCTATATTGCCAAACAGAACAAATCAATAACAAAAACTCTTAGAAGGAACACAGGGTAAGACCTCATGACATCGAATTTGGCTCTGGTTTCTTGGATACTATACCAAAAACACAAGCAACAGAAACAAAAAACAGATTTATTAGACTATGTCAAAATTGAAAACTTTTGCTTTTCAAGGTCACAAAGTAAAAGGAAACACATGAAATGGAAGAAAATATTTGCAAATCATATATCTGATAAGGGGTTAACATCCAGACTGCATAAACTACCACTCAACTCCTTTACCTCAAAATCCAATTAAAAGATAGAAGAAGAACATGGATAGATATTTCTCCAAAAAAAATTTACCAGTGAATGATAAGTACATGAAATGATGCTGAATGTCACTCATCACTGGGGAAATGAAAATCAAGCCCACAAGATAATACTAATTCATGTGCAATAGGATGGCTATCATTAAAAACAGAAACAACCCAGAAAATGACAATGGCATAGAGAAGCTGAAACCTTGTGCATGCTGCTAGCTGTGTAAAATGGAACTGCTACTGTGCAAAAAATTGCACGTGGATTTACCATAAACCCAGAACTTCCACTTCCACAAAGCCAGGAGACTGAAAACAGAATCTGTAACAGACACTTAGACACTCATATTCAAACAGCATGATACTAATTTCCTGACTTACAAAAATTTGAGTTGTGAACTTGCACAAATATGAATAGACCTCACTTTGGATTTTTTATGCTTTACATTGCACATTTGTGTCAAAGGTGTGTAACACTGACTTCATTAGACTTACGAATGTTCTCTTGAAAGGGAACTCATTCATATGTCAGGGACTTACTGTATTCATAACAGCCAAGAGGTAGCAGCAAGCCAAGTATCCAACCATGGTGCATAAGCACTCTGTGGCGAGTATACACATGAGAATATTATCCAGCCTTCATAAGGAAGGAAATTCTGACATATTCTATAATATGAATGAAATCTGAAGATTATGCTAAGTGAAATAGCTAGTCAAAAAGGATGGATAGTGTATTACCACTTTTATGTAGTACCTCAAGTCACCAAAGGCACAAAGACAGAAATAGAGCAGTGATTTAGGTGCACTGAGCCTATTTATCAGAATAACATCAATTTGGAATGGGCCAATTCATGCACCTGTAGTCTATTTAAAGCTAACTTACACAAATGAAAGTTTTATTTTCATATGTTATTTCTACTTAACAGGTTAAGTGGAAATTGTTATTGATTGCACTGTATGTAATCTTTCTAGCTATATTTACACCAGCAGCAACTATTAAGCTCATCTTGGTAAAAGTACTTGGGTCTACTTTCCTATAAGACAGACCAGGTCTCTATGATTGATAACCTCAAAAGTACCTTCTAGTTCTCTGTTCATCTTGTCAGGCAGAGTCTGCAACACAAAGTAGAATCTGCTGAGTTCCATGGTTTCCATTTCCAGATGATCAATTGTGGTTTTTCTCATTTCTTCCTGAAAATGTAAATTTCACTTTAAAAAGTTAACTCACAGGCCAAGGATATAGCTCAGTGGGTTATATGAGCTACATAATCTGCCTGGCAAGTGCATGGTCCTGTGTTTGATTCCCAGGTTAAAAAAAAATTTAAATGTCAACCCATCAAAATAGTAACACAGGTTTCCTATACAATGTTCTATAAATGTTTCTGGCATCAAGGTTGAATTTTCATTAAATGTCTCTGCTGTTATTTTATATGGATTAGAACGTGGGGAAGGACATACTCTCTAGCTTTTAAGATGTCATTGTTAAAGTATCTTTCAATTTTTGCTGAAAGCTTTTCCTCTATATGTCTGATTCTTGAATTCAATTTCAATCTTAAAGGAAAGATTCATATCTGATTATTAAAAAGTGAAAATTACCTACAAAATATGTATAGATAAAACCTGTAAATTATTCAAACCTATAAATCCAAACAAATAGGCTGGTTGACTTGGGCTACTTAAAAAAAAGAAAAAAATCAGTTAGTAAAAACATAATCTTTTAAATAATGGTCATATATAGTAATAAATGAAGCTATTTTATGACCCAGGGCATTGCCATTATATTTTACCAACTAAAAGTTAGAGTGCAAAATTGTATATATAGCATGTCACTTCCTATAATATGACTCAATGCAGACAGCACATATAAGTAAAAATCAGAGCTAACTGTGATTGTTTTAGGGTACAAATTGTAGTGATTTTACTTTCTTCCTTTTTTTATATATTTATTTCTTTATTTTTATTTTAGGTTTTGGCCTTTTTTTTTTTTTTTCTTTGTCTTTTTCCTTTTTATTGGTACCGGGGATTGAACTCATGACTGCCTGCTTGCAAGGCAGGGTTTTGGTCTTTTTTGAAGCAGGATTTCACTATGTGGTTCAGGCTGGCCTTGAGCTCACTTTGTAGGTTAGCTGGCCTCAAACTCAGCCTGCTCTTCCTGCCTCAGCCATCCTAGTGCTAGGGATTACAGGTGTGTGATTATTTATTTTCTAAAACTTCTGCGGTAAATATGTATTTCTTTTATAATAGTGATGAATATCTATTACTTTAAAAATGGATTTTCCCACACAATTTAAGAGGATTTATAGCTCAGACATGAAATGGATACATACTAGATATTTTATTTGGCCACAATAAATGTATTAGCCCCTGTACATCCTGGAGAAAAACTAACTGGAAGAAGCCAGCACAAGCGGAGGTATCCATCAAACTCCAGGGCAGCACAGCGCAGAAGCCAGTGTGCATGTCTGTCAGTCAGCACAGAGGGACTATAAAACATGACGAGGTGACACAGTCACATAATTATGTGCAATTTATAAAAGATCAAGTAATGAGATTTTTATCAGCAATGGGCAGCCTCAAACTTCATTTTACAGCAATTTTTCTACATTTGCAGATATGCATCTTCCTCAATATTAAGCCAGTGAAGAGATCTCACCAAGCTGAATTTGCCAAGGAAACATTTTAAACATTATTCAGAGATATCAAAGGAACACATGTCTGTGACATCTCAGAAAGGACTTTTAGAAACATTTCTGTGAGGAGTTTTTGGCATGGGCCAGGATAGTATAACTGGAAGAGTTTGTTTTCCCTAACAGTACAGACTACTTCAATGGAATAGATGTCAAGCAATCTTTCACTGGTTAGGAAAAGAGCTGCTTATAGCAAGCAACACCAAGCATGTGATTTTTCCACTAGAGATAGTCTCTTGCTTGGTTGGTCAGTCAGTTGGTTGGTGGGCAGGCAGATGGATTTAAAATAGAGCTTACATGTATTGGTGCCCTTATCTGACCCCGCAGACTCTCCAGGGAGGCAGGGCAGCCTCGCCTGGCCAGAGCCGCTTCTGTGCCTCAAAGGCTGGGCAGACGGGTAGTGGGAGGGTCCGATGCGCAGCTCTGCTGTCCCGGGGTGCTGGGGGTCCCCGACAGCTCGCGCAGGTACCTGGGGACGAATCCCGACCTCCTGCTTTCCTCTTGCAAGTTTATCTCCCACGGAAGAACGTGGGAGATATCCTACCTCTTTTGTCATCCCAATTGCTTTTCCTAAGTGGGCCAGTCCTCACTCAGGCACAGGCCCCTTAATCCAGATTTCTGTAAGAAACACAGGGCAATAATCTACAGCTATGTAAATGCTTAGTCAATTGTAAGAAAAAGTTTTTAACTCAGGTAAATATTTTTCTTATTCACCTTTTTAAGTACCTTGAACAGAGCTGGTGTTAAATTAAAATTTGATAAAGAATTAAGTGGATGACTAAAAACATAGTTCCTACAGATTATACAGTACCAATTTTTTAACAGCAAGAGCAATGTCCTTAAGAAAGATCCTAGCTTCTTCATTGCATTTAAAATAGTCGCTTTGTAGAGACTGTTCTGTAAAGGAAAAAGGATTAGAAAGTTAAGATCTCTTATTTATCCATCCAAATCCTATTCACCTTTTACGGTCTGATTCAAATGCTGGAAATTACATCTATTTCTGAATTTCTATTGTGCTTTATATGCATCTGTTTTCTGCTTGTTGTTTCCTATTACACAGTATTCCAGTTTAGGTGTATGCCTTATGGTCCTTAGTGACAAACTCATCTTTGCATGTTTAATGGTAGAAAGAAGGGTGTGAACAGGATCAGACAAAGAAAATCAGTAAACTAAGCGCATAATCCAACATGCCTGTGATGCAGGCTTGATTAACAGTAGTTCCATACACACAGATTTGAATACACAGTAAATCTAAAATACTATCATGCCAGAACTCTACACTGAACCCACAGTTTCATCCCACCATGACATTTTTACTTCTGTGGAAACATCTGAGCATGCAATAAGATCGCACACTTCCACACCGGGGAGGGTGGAGCAAGAGCTCCTGTCCTTATTATCCATTGTGGAGCCTGTGACATGTCTAACCAAACTCTCACACCAAGTGGAAACCAGTTAGTAAATCTGCAAGAAAGCACATTAAAGCTGCCCAGGTGTTGCTCAACTCCTTTCGGTGAGCACAAGCTTATTGCTGCTTGTAAGCTGGCTGGGCAGCTATACATTTTTGTAACTCACCTTCAAAGCGGGGCTTAATAAATTTTTTCCCCGTGAAAAACTTTCTGAGGGGCCACAATTATTAGTAGAGAATGTATTTATGCACGAGAACTAGTGTTGAAGATCCCTGATCCAGAGAGCTGACCCAGAGAGCAAGCACTAAGAGAATTCAAGGTCCTAGATTCTTCCCTGGCAATGACTTTGGATACAGACTATAAGTAATTGAAGTCTCACAGCTAGTCAACCTTCACATAGTAACACTTTCCAAGCCTGTCTGATAAGAGTTTTGAAATTAAATTAGGTCCTCTAAAAGAGAAAAACTAACAATAACAACAAACTAACAAATCAGCATGATTGTTTTGCAGCGATAAGATTACAGCAAAACAATGAGAGACTCTGCTGTTCCGCCTAAATGGTTTTGTACTAAACAAGAACTGTCCTTTCTTGGGCTAACAGGTGCAGTTTCTAACTGAAATGCTGACCTATCTCCATGCAAGGTCAAATTTGGCTGATTCTCTAACACATTCTTTTACACATACTTTTTTCTACCTAACAGAACAAGAGTCGCTTATGGACGTTCTTCCGTGGGAGATAAACTTGCAAGAGGAAAGCAGGAGGTCGGGATTCGGCCCCAGGTACCTGCGCGAGCTGTCGGGGACCCCCAGCTCCCCGGGGCGGCAGAGGGCGCCCTCGGACCCTCCCACCCCCCGCCTGCCCCGCCTTTGAGGCCCAGAAGCGGCTCCGGCGGGCGGGCTGCCCCGCCCCCCCGGAGAGTCTGCGGGGTCAGAGGGCGCCGGGCCTCTCACCCACGACGAAAAGCTGCTCGAGTGCGGCGGTCGCGATCGAGGAGCCCAGGGTGGCGGGGAAGGCGCACAGCTCCAGCGAGCTCCCGGTGCAGACCGCGGCGGTCCGCGCCGCCTTGGCGCCTGCCCCGGGCCCCGGCTCCATGCTCCAGAAGCTCCGGGCCTCGGTGCACACGGTCCTGCCCCTCGCAGGCCTGAGCGCCGCGGTTGCCCCGGGTAACGAGGACGCCGGGGCCCGCGGGCGCCCTCTCGCGGCCGTTGGCTGCATCCCGCGCGGAAAGCCTTCCTGAGTCCTCAGACGCGGCCGGCGCCTGGCTCACTGCGGGGGCGACTGACGCCTGCGTTGGGGACGCTGCGGGAGGGCCTCGCCGCAGAGCTGGTCGCTTAGTCGGCAGGATGATCTCCTGAGGCAGATACTTTTATTAAGCCTGCGTTTACAAACAAGGAAACTGAGGCGTGGATGACTGAAGACCTCAAGTGAATAACTGTGTTTATTTGAGACAGTCTCACCGTGTAGCCCAGGCGGGACTTGCAGCAATGCTCCTGCTTCAGCTTCCCGAGTTCTGGGATTACAGGTGTGCAGCACCACACTCGGCAATAGTAAATTTCAAGCAAGAATCATTCTAACTTTTTACAAACCCCTCTGTGTATTCCTTTTTAACTTTTCCTCTTTGTCCCTGCGCACATTTTGCCTTAAGTCGCAGATCTTTTTCTCTCCCTTTTGTCTTCTTCTCAAACTGTGGGTTCTTCGGTGACAGGGATAGGATATTATTTATCTTTCTATATGTCTCCAAGATGCAGCCCGGGGTCCAGCCCTGTCTGCGTGTGGCTGCGAGTCCTTCTCGCCTGACTGGATACGCACACGGGTGACCCAGCCTCACCCCTTCCCCAGAGTTTCCTCAGAGATGGTGAAACTGAAGTCAGGCCTGGAGGAAAGATAACAGCCGCCAGCTCTATGGTGCGTAGGACGCCTCGGGCGCTGTTCTAAGCAACATGCTGCCGCTTGGCTGTAGTCCTTTCCGTAGGGTCATTGCCCCTTGGTGCCCACGCGGCCTGGAGGGGCTCACTGGCACAGCAGGACGGGCGCCCCTGCCCCACGCATCCCTCCGTTCAGGCGGAGCTACGTCCCGACTTGGGTCACTGCCTGGGGGCCAGGGGTGTCTGGATTCCTGGGGGCCCAGGGGTGTCTGGATTCCTGGGGGCCCAGGGGTGTCTGGATTCCTGGGGGCCAGGGGTGTCTGGATTCCTGGGGGCCCAGGGGTGTCTGGATTCCTGGGGGCCAGGGGTGTCTGGATTCCTGGGGGCCCAGGGGTGTCTGGATTCCTGGGGGCCCAGGGGTGTCTGGATTCCTGGGGGCCCAGGGGTGTCTGGATTCCTGGGGGCCCAGGGGTGTCTGGATTCCTGGGGGCCCAGGGGTGTCTGGATTCCTGGGGGCCCAGGGGTGTCTGGATTCCTGGGGGCCCAGGGGTGTCTGGATTCCTGGGGGGCCAGGGGTGTCTGGATTCCTGGGGGCCCAGGGGTGTCTGGATTCCTGGGGGCCCAGGGGTGTCTGGATTCCTGGGGGCCCAGGGGTGTCTGGATTCCTGGGGGCCCAGGGGTGTCTGGATTCCTGGGGGCCAGGGATGTCTGGATTCCTGGGGGCCAGGGGTGTCTGGATTCCTGGGGGCCCAGGGGTGTCTGGAGTTTTATGGTTCTTTATTTTTATTCTTTTCCTCAACACTTTATTTTCTCTAAACAAGATTTGTGAGAAATGTCTTAGATTCTACTTTATCTCACGTTGTGTGTGTGCATACGTGTATGATATTGGGGAGCCAACCTAGGGACATTCCTGGGTTTTTTTGTTTCATTTTGTTTGTCTGTTTTTGTTATGACTTGTGTCTAGATGTCCTGTCAAAGCCTCATGCACTTTTAGATGGAGTTTTTTCTCAGAGGTAGCTGAGTCTAGAGTGTGTGTTTGGTTGGTAGTGCAATGCTGGGATTAAGGATGTGAGTGCTATTCCTGCCCTAGGTGGGTGACCTGCATACAATATAAGGAACAGAAAGATTTGTCCTCTCTCGCTTACTTGTGGTTGTGCTGTCTCCACCACCATGAACTGTTGCCCTTTTGCCATTTGCCACACTGCCTTGTAGCCAGCCAAGTATGGACTGAAACCTCCACAGACTGTGAGCTAAATAAACAGTTTCTTAACTTTGGGTGTTGGGTGTTTTGTCTCAGCAATGAGAAAAGAAACTAACATAGTTCTGAGTCAGGCTATCACTGAGTTGTTCAGGTGGGACTTGAAATTATGATCCTCCTGCCTCAGCTTCCCTACATGCTAGGATTATAGGTGCGTGGCACCATGTCCAGATTTATTTATATGGCTCTCTATACATGGAGCGTGCTGTACAAAATTTACCTCATCCTTTTCAAAAGGAACTTTATTCATTATGAAATGGAAATCTGGGTAAATAACATGAACAATTACTTCCTAAGATAAAAAAGAAATTCTAAGAAACACATTGAAAGGAAATTTATCTCATTAGCATTCAAAGAACAAATTCATTTATTCTTTTTCTATGTAAGTAAAATGAAAAAGAACCATAGCTCAAAGTGCCAGCATGGAATATGAATGCTTATCTGGAGTTCTGTTTGTAATTTGTATGAGAAGTATTAGCATAGTGTAGTATTTCTAAGAGTATTTCTTAGAAGATCATTTCTTAGAGATAAACATAGTTGTGTCCAAGGACATGGGTAGGAGCTTATTCTGTGCAGTTTTATGTTATATATATAAATTTTAAAAACAAGCAATGCAAATGATCAGTTCAACAGAACTCTGTTTAAGTAACCTGTGGGTCATCTACATGGAGGGACAACTAGAAGGCCGTCCACTCAGAAAGGGTGGTGTGCTGCATGTGGAGAAAGGTGCAGGGTGTAAGGGAGGCCCACCACTTCTGGGAGGAGTATCTTGGAGACAGGTAGCCTGTCCCATGTCACCCGTATCCCAGCTCCAAAAGTACTATGGTATTAGGAGTTCTTAGTTCATAGAATTGTTGTAAAGATTGAGCTATTAATGCTGCCTTCAACACATAGGAGGTAACAAAATATGATTTATGCAAAGCAATAATGTAGAATTATTAAAAATAGTGTGTAGAAATTGATGTGTATACACACACAAGGGAACCTTTGGATAAGAGAAGTATGTTCATTATTGTCATTGCATTGGTCACTTCATGGGCTTGTGTGTCAGACTCATCAAATGGGACCTTACCTACTTGGCTTATTGTTTCGGTTTATTATTTCAATTATTGCTCAATAAAGCTCTGCCAAGAACCAATAATATATGTTTGCATTCACTGATAATACCTTATGAGGTTATTTTCCAGAATGACCTAATGAAAACTCTCCAGAAGCCTCATGTGTTATTCAGCTTTCTATCACTGGAACAAAATGCCTGACATGTTCAACATGGAAGGAGGAAGGATTCTGACAGTTTGAGAGGTTTCAGTTCATTAAGAATTGGTGCCATTGTTTTTGTGGTGAGGCAAAACATCATGGCAGGGAGCAAAGTGGAACAAGGATTGTCACCTCATGGTGACAGGGAATCGGAGAGAGAAGTGCAGGGTCCCAAACCAGAACGTGCTTCCTGGAAGGTCACTCGCTCACATCAGGCTTCCCTCCTTAAACATCCTGCTACCCATCATTAGCTCCAGGGGCTCAGAACTGAGCATGCATCACATGGGCCATTCCAGACCAAAACTACAGCACCTGATAATCTCTCCTTTCATAATTCAGTGAGCAAGATTTATGGTTTCCAAGAAGCATTCAAGCTTTATATTGTAGGTTACACAGGGAAAAGATGCTCTGGAGAATTCTGAAGTTGTGAAACAAAGAGATAATTCCTTTATTCTCATTAAAATCCACATCTAGTTAATTTCAATCAGAATCTCTAGCAGAGAAAAGATGTTCAAACTGACTCATTTGTCATTTTATTGACCTTTGTGTAATGAACAAAATTGGTAGCTCTGGGCAGTCTAAGAGGGGATGTGGCTAAAAACCAGTATTCTTTTTGTAGTCATGAAATAGATGTTTGTAAAATGAATATGCAACAAATCTTAAAAGGACATTAAACAAAAGTATGCTGAAACTGCAAAAAACCTACAGAAGTTTACACAAAAACATAGAAACATACACATGTGTGTATATACAAAATCAATTTTTACAAATCTGTATAATGCATGTATATGTTACTCTCTCCATATACACGTATATATATTCACACACATGCAGTACATTTCTATAATTTGTATATACACATGCATATATAAAATGGCCTGAAAAAATTATTTATTAAAATGTTAGCTGTAGTTCTTCCTGGTTGGGGAAAATTATGGGCATCTTAGGTAAAACCATACCTCCTAGAAATGTCCCCATCAGAATTCCTGGAACCTGCAGCTGCACTGTGCTACCTGGTGAGGGATCACTAAGGTCACAGATGGAATGAAGGTTTTGTCAGTGGACTCAGTGATGCGGCATGTAGCCTAGATTATCTGGAGGGGCCATCTTATCACTGCAGACGAGTCAGTGCCAAGGTGAGAGAGATTTGAAGGAGCTAGAGCAGCAGCTTTGCAGTTGGAGGGCGGTGACCATGAACCAGGGATGCAGGCAGCCTGCAGGAACTGGAAATGGCGAGGAGATGGGCTCTCCCAGGGCCTCCTGGAGGAGCGCGGCCCTGCTGACATCTCGGCATCAGCACAGTGAAACCCATTTCAGACTTCTGACCCCTGGAACAATCACAATAAACTTGATTTGCTTTAAGCTACTAAGGTGTGTGTTAAACACTAGGTGTAAAAAGCTAAAATAATGGACAATGTTAACTTTTTTCTTCATATCTATGTATGTATTTGAATGTTTATTCATAAGCACGAGTTCCTTTATTATTATAAAGAGAGAAAAGCTTTCTTATTTATAAAATCATAGGAAAGTAAAGAAATAAAATACACAAAACTAAAACAGTAGAACATATAATAGATCTTTCCGGTCCATCAGTATCTATAGATAGTGTTCACTGGGCTTTAAGCCATTTTTTCTTGTCTCATGCATCTTTTTACGTTGGTACAAGCAAGTGCATTCCTCTTATAGTCAGTACATTCAAGGCAGACTTTGCTTGGTAGTGAGGATGAATCACTTCTTTGAACTTTGTTGGATTTGGTACTCAATGCATTTTAGCTTGGAAATTGGGTCCCAGTACCAGTCATTATTTGGTACTTGGCATGGCAGCTGGAACCCATTTATGTTGATTGCCG